ACTGTCACAGGTCGGCTCAGTAGATCGGGAAGTGAGCAAACACATACCGGCGTTCCCTCACTTCTCGAACCTGTCACAGCTCTCTGCCGTGACAGGGGAGTGGCTGGATTCCCCCCGCTCCGATCCTCCAGCGCTGACTGGCAGGGCTAATGCAGTTTGGACTTTAGCCCTCCATCCATTTAGTGGAACATGTGCACCCCAAGCTGGGTACATGGGGTACTCGCTTTCATCAAGTCACCCGTCACATTCAAACCTATAGTAAAGTGTGGAATCTGGTGGACGTTAAGAGTACATGCCAGTTCTTAGCATGATGCTTGAGGCCAGTGTAGGAACAAATACCCTACCACAAGAAATGGATGGATTGGACTTTATAATTCTGTCCCGGACATTGGCCTGTCTATGGCTGGCTTAAATTATTTTCATCAAATGTGTCCTTAGAGGAAAATCCTGACTGCAAGTAATGTAGAAAATTACGTAATCTGTTGCTGAGAGCCCAGAAACTGCCAGAACAGAGTCTCTCTTCCATATGCAATAAATAAATAAATCCTTTTACAGTCTTGTAAAAATATTTTTAGTTAAGGTATTGAATCCATTGCACATTTTTCACTCTTTCAGGCTGTTCCTTTCTTACTGCCCACTGTGGGCTATTTGTGCTTAATGTTTGGTATTCTTCGGCTAACTAATCGATTTTGAAAATAATCGTTAGCTGCAGCTCTATCCCAGACCATCTATTCTTCCAGACACGTTAGTTGAATTTTATGTTTGCTTTCCAGAGTGCACAATGACTAGTTTATTTGATTTTCTAATTTCATGAAAGGTCAGTCCACTCAAACTAATTTTGTATGTGGCTGGACACTGGTGGTTTGACGCGCTTAACATTCCCGAAACAAGCGAATCCATCAAAGTTCTTGGTTTAGTCCACCTTCCACAGAGGTTCTATGCTCTTGCTGCATGCAACATACTGAGAAATGATTTTATGAAACTCCCCTGTCCTGGCTTTGGAATAGAAAGGACCTGTGAAATTGGCTGTGAAGGCCTTGTCATCAGACTGCTGAGATCTGAAGAAATTTGAGGTGGAATAATATAGCCACCAGACTGTAAGGCAAAGGTAGGCAACCTCAGCATGCCAACTGTTTTGGAATTACCTAGTCCCTCTGGGCATTGCCAGACTCTAACAACTTCAGGCCTAATTTGTAGAGGCATGATGGAATCGTGTAGTTTTCTCACAGCTCGTGTGCCAAGGTTGCCTACCCTTGCTCTAAGGCCTTATGTTCTTGTGAAATGCAGCCATTTCAATTCAAAGGCTGTGTTTGGCTTGGTTCGCCTGCTGCTTAACCCCAACCCCAACTCAGATGGACACACTGTGCCCAAAGAAACGCAGCATAACACAAAGCAGGTCAAACCCAGCTTCTGAATTGTTATGAGCACTTCTATATTAAAGCCAAAACAGGCATGTCAAACTAAAAAGAAACCTTGGCATTAGGTCTACCACCGAGGGCCTGCTTAATTCCAAAAACATTTTAGCATATTTTTTAACTCATTAATAATTGTAACTTGCAACCATAAAGAGCATAACTCATTTCCGGAAGTATTCAGCTGCTGAATTATGCAAGTCAGTTTAACTTTTATTATCTGGAGAACAGCTGAGGCCAACTTTATTTTCAGATCTTGGACCACGAAGGGCCACTTGCCACCCAAAAAAATCTCAACATACCTGCTTTAAAACAATCACTGAAACTTTGAGTGCCCCCTAGTCCTAATTGGCTAAAAGTATACCTTCCTTCTCCCAGTTCCCAATGACCGAACTACTCACAGTTCACCAACCTCTTGTGCCGACATCTTAAGTGGACCATACATGCATAAAATTTTGGAAATGTCCGTGTGTCGGCCAAAATTCAATCCATGGTTGGCCTTGGCGTCTTGACAGAAGTGCATTTTTCAGTTGACTTTTGCCCAAAGACCTGGGTGGAAAATTGTTGGCTGAACATTGACTGCAGCCAAAAGAGTTACAGCCGCTGTTGAGTATTCTGACAGCCGCAGGTGCCAACTGGCAATAAATAATCAGGTAGGGGAGATGCCCTGAGTAATCGAAGGAGGAAAAACATTTTGATGTATGCCAGCTTTAGTGTTACTGCACCTGCAGGAATGCCTGCAATAGAAATGAAGAGTCTAGTAGCCTATCTATCTCTTGGATAGCTCATTATTATCTATGGCAGGTACTTACAGGGGTGCAGTATCTCTAAGATGCTGGCTGCAAACACTGTTGGGTCGTGGGCAGATTATGACTACAGGATGGAGGAGAAAATTCTGCTTCAGGCAAGCAGGGTTATTTCCTATACAAAAATATCAGTACATCTACAAGTAAAGACTGCTGAAGTTTAAAGCAAATCTTAGTTGAGCTTGATAATTTCACCTTATTGGTCCTTTTGATCGGATTAACAGCTCAGCAGAAGGGAACAGCTGACCAATACGGGACTTGGAAGGTGAGGAGGTGGGACCAAGCTTGGCATTAGCAGAAGAAGTTGAAACTTTAGCTGCCTATATGACTGGATTCGCTGACCGTTTTGACATTCGGGTTTCGCATAGCCTTGTCTCTGCTTTGTTTTCATCATGCGCTCAGTTGGAATTTCCCGTGGTTGTGACAAGTTTACTTGAAGGCTTTCTGTCATGGCTTGAGTAGGCATTTCGCAGGCACATATAGCAGTATGCCAGATGTAGATGTATCAGGAAATATGTGGAGTGTTCTGTCACAAGGACATGCAGTGGTAGCATTGTTCAAGGATGATCCGTTTTGAATTTGGGGCGGGTGCCAAGACAAATAGTAACCCTGTATGAACAGGTGAAACTCGAATAATTAGAATATCGTGCAAAGTTCATTTATTTCACTAATACAACTTAAAAGGTGAAACTAATATATGAGATAGACTCATTACATGCAAAGCAAGATAACTCAAGCTGTGATTTGTCATAATTGTGATGATTATGGCTCACAGCTCATGAAAACTCCAAGAACCCCAAATCCACAACCTCAAAAAAGTAGATTATTACATGCAATCAATAAAACAAGGATTGTACATAGAACAATATCGGACCTCTGAAAAGTACAAGCATGCATATGTACTCAGTACTTGGTTTGGGCCCCTTTTGCAGAACTTACTGCAATTACTTTTACACGATATTCTAATTATTCGAGTTTCACCTGTATACTCCAGTGAGATTATTCTGTAGTTTTTAGCTTGCATGGTGTATGGTCTGTTATTCCTGGCAGAATACAGTTCTGTAGGTTGTGGTCATTTTTAGAAAGCGGCGATTCTTCTAAATAAGACTTACAGCTGCTGATTTATTTTTATTTGATTAAAGATATAGTAATGGAAACTGTATTTGATGTTTGCTAAAGCAGAACGATGTGCACATAACTAGTCACATCCTTAGGAAGAGGAACTCCTGGGCTTTGCGCTAAAGTAGGGTATACATGGTTAGAATTTCAAATAAATGAAATTGATTATGAAATATGCTTTCAACTTGCTAATTTGTTGATGGGGTCAAACCAGTGATCAATTTCCACTGCAGTGACCCCATGTTTGGATTTTTTTTTTCGATCAAGCAAAATTCTAGCAGTGAATGTGGGCAACTCCAGTCATTTCAAAATCAAATGTTAAATGGAAACAAAAATCAAACCAAATTTCGAACGACAATTTGTCAAGTCTCTGATGGTATTGCTCGAAATGCTCCGATGGGACTTTTTGTATAAACATTTGTTCGAAAATCTACTTGTGTATACCCTACTTAAATGAGAACTATGAGGTGGGTGATTTACACTCATCCTCATAGAGCCGACATTGAAACTGTTGCAGGTCGACTCTATAGATCGGGAAGTGAGTGAACACATATCGTCGCTTGCTCACTTACAGATCTCCCTGCAGAGAGTGGTGACTGTCAGTCACCGCTCCCCACAGGAATTCCCCACTCCCCTCTCCGATCTTTCAGCGCACACTGGAGAAACGGACAGGGAGGGAGCAGGCACAGCGGGCTCTGCCTCTAGATTGGCAGAGCCCGCTGTCAATCACCCAGCTGAATGGATCTCGACAGTATTGCTGGGATCCGTCTTGGCTACAGTGCTCTCAGTATATAGCCGGCAATAGCCGGCAATAGCCGGCTATATACTGAGCTTTGGGTCAAGGGAGGAGGTTAGTATATGTCCTCCCGTGACCCTAAAGAGAACTATGAGATAAGAAGGTTACCTCATAGTCCTCTTTTAATGGTGGCAGTTGTACTACATGATTACTCATCAGTCTAAAGCTAGCCATACACTATAAAATGTTTTAAACTCTTAAACCATATTTCAATAATGAATACAGATCAAACAAATATACATTGCCAACCAAAGTTTTTCTTTATATGTTCACCCAGGCACTTATCGTCATCATGTTTCCAAATAGCTGCTTCCAACTCTCTCTTCGGCTTCCCTGAACTTCCTATCTAGTACAAGATTACAAGCGATAGAGTAGTCTCCAGCCTGGGGAGACGCACACAGCATACTTGCGTACACAAAGGGTGGCTCCATAGTCCATCTACTAGCTTTGGAGAAGGGAGAGCAGAGGATTGGTTTTCCTTGCTGTGCCTGTGTCTCCAACACGCACAACTTACTAGCACACACAAGGGTGGCTCCTGCAGGGGAAAACAGCCACCCTAAAACAGGACCAGTGCTCGGGGACCAGCTGATTTTGCAGGAAGCTGAGACTTTTAAACATCAAGAGGCAGCATCCATTGTAAGTGATTTCATCAACATTTGATATGGCATGAAAACCTTTTGACTTTAATATCACTTTAGCATCTTTTTTTCGTTTAGTCCCATGAGCTGAATGAGAGAAATTACTCAATGCCCCATCCACACTAGATAGCATAGAGAGGACAGTTTTCTTTGCATAACCTATATGCTAACTTTTACATTTTTAAAAACATGTCTTTATATTAACAATTTTTTTTTTTTTTTTATACAGAGATATCAGCATGAACAATATCACCAAGCTACCAGAAGGTGCCTTTAAAGGATTGCCATATCTAGTAGAATTGTAAGTATGATATTTTTTTCCCCTTATAATAAAGGGGGTTACCTTCTTATCTGTACAGTTTCCACTCAAGTTTTAAAGCTGAACTACAGCCATCCCTTTTAGTCTTGCACAATTGTACAGTCTCGTTTCCTCTCCTGGGCTGAAATTGCGTACTCTGATCTCACTGCACACTGTGATCTTCTCACAATGTGCTTTAGAAGCGACAGCAATTCAGAGTTTGCCTCATTTCCTGGCTGGAGGGCTTCCAGTATCTTCTAGCCATTTCCTCTCCAGCCTTACTATCTCTAGCCCGCCCCTTTCATTTATTGGATTTCAGCTCTTTCAATCATGGAGGATCAACATCCCATGTGGGCATTTCTAAAGGTGGTCTGCATCCAAATGCAGCCTCACTAGGACGGGGAGTAAGTGATGAGCAATGTCTTAACTGTGAGTGAAGATCCACTTTAACTTATTACATAGGTTGAAAAAGGATAAAACGGAAAGGGAGGGAAGGAACGCTCCCTCCCTCTTTCTTTCCGTTCAGCATCCCACAGTTAGACACCCCGGTTTAATAACGCAAGGAGCTGCATTACGGCCACGACACACCAACCCCACCCCAGGAGTGCGCTAACCAATCAGTCTCCTTTTTCCAACTTCAACAATCTCCATTTTAAAACCCATTTCCACCTTTTGTGGAGGTATTTTTAAAATGTAGCAATGTACCCTGAGTTTAAATGAAGCAGACATATGCAGTTGCTGTATATGAACACAGAAACTTACTTTTTTTTTAAGCTGTCCTCTTCATCTCCTCATGGTTACTTTTGAAATGGCCGCCTCTGTGCTCTGCAAGTAGTCTGTGTAAATTAACACTCTCTCTGTGAGCTTTCTCCCTGGACAGTGTATTGTGACTTGGAAAGGCAGAGCTGGTGTGCAGTGATCTTTTTACAATGACTTGCAGGGAGGGGTTAGCTTACAATCCGACACCAGTGTTGGACTAAGTTACCCGTGGGGACAATTTTTAATTTGTAGGACTCTGGGCTAAACAAAAGTCCATAAAAAAGGTATAAAGCCAGCAATGAGTCATGAAAAATGTGCACAGGTATACATCATCACTTTACCTCTACATTACCACAATAAATGCTCATAACTTACAAAGGTGGGAATGGGCTTTAACATTTTTTTTTCTTGGGCTGGAAGAGTTCTTTAACAGACAGCAATAACACATAACACTTTACCATGTTTCAAATCTTCCCCGTTCTGTCCATAACCATTGAAACAGGTTTGAGCTGGAGTCCCACTTTAACCCCCAGCAACCATTTAATAATCGCCATTCACTAGACATCTGGTCACTCTTGGTTGCTGCATTTTCTTATAGCTGGTCTTTGTAGCACCTTATTGAGCAAGCCTATAAATAGTGACCTTGGCAAGACTTGCGTCTGCTTATGTGGTGCAGAGTATGGTTTTCATTTCTCAAGTTCGTAGAACAATGTGTGTGGGCTGCATTTGTTTAATATGCATCATCCATATCCGGATATTGCTTTACTGACCCATAAAATGTGCTGTGCAGGTTCATCGTATACGGCTTTTGTTTGTGTGTATGCGGCACTTGTGAAATAATGTAAATTCTCACTAATTATTGTTTACACCATCTCGGTGGGTGGGTTCCTATTACTGTACAGATCTTGTATCTGAAGGGATTTCGAGACCGGTTGTCCAACTGATTCCAATTAGGCTTGTCCTGTCAGTGAAAGGCGAAGAAGAGAATGTTATTGACTCTGCAGAAGAAAGTGTCGGTGTATTGGTTGGGTGCGTGTGCAACCTCACCGATACAATTATCTCAGACATTATATATCCATGGTTAAAGGAGACCACTTCTTCAAGCCCTGTTTTACTAATATTTTGTTTTAAAGATGCATATTAATGCAGACCTGCAATCATTAAATGCATTTTTTAATGCAAACAGTACGTGAATGTGAACTGGTAGCCTCTGTACAGCAGGGCTTGAGCATGAGTGGAAGAAGCAGCTCAAGGAGCCAATTAGTTCATATGCTGACAAGATGCATGCTGATAGGTGTTGAAAGCTGGGTGCTGCTTCTCTTTCGCTGTCTAGTCACTGGCTGGGGGCTAGTCTGGGATGACCTGGGTTTGGAGGACGTTTGTTGAATGATGCTGGCCATCAGAATAAGGTCATCTAGTGGCATAAAGTAATGTGGGGATATTTCTAGATTGAAGGTATTGTAAATATAGCCTCTTGCAGTCTCTGTCCAGTCACAGTTTTGGGTGAGTCCAGTATGACCTGGGCTCAGAGGGAATTGGTTGAATGATGCTGGCCACCAGAATTACATTTTCTGGCATAAAGTAATGTGCGGATATTTGTAAATTCGAAGGTAAATACAGCCTCTTGCATTCCATGCCCAGTCACAGTTTTGGGTGTGTCCAGGATGAGCTGGGCTCAGAGGAAGTTGGTTGAATGATGCTGGCCTTCAGAATGAGGACATTTAGAAGCAGAAAAAGTAATATGGAGGAAATCTCTGGATTGAAGGTACATATAGCCTCTTGAATTCCCTGTCTAGGCACCAGCAGGGGCAGGTCTACAATCATCTGGCCTCGGAGTAATTTGGTTAAGTAATGCTAGCCATGAGACTGAGGACATCTTGAATGCATACTGTGGAGAGAGAGAGAGAGAGAGCTCTGGATTTAAAGCGAATATTGCAATAAAAGCAGCTTTCTATTGTATGTTATAATGGGCTATTCATTTTTTAAATCTATGTCCCGTTGACTTGCGTTCTCCTTTAAAAGTATGGTTGACTCCGGCGGCACACCCCTCAGTGTGGTGACTTAGAACACTGGTGATCTATCTGTAGTGCTCCCCATGCACATTACAATCTGAATGCACACTCTTCGTGCAGTCTGTTTTAGATTTACCAAATCTTTTGGATTGAGTGTGGAGGGTATAGCAACCCTTTCAGGTCTTTATAGCCATCTGTGGCCCAACAAAGGAGAATCACCCCCTCTGTTTGTCCTGATGACCATTGTCACTGGTAATGCAAGTGAGAGAAAATACCACATTTTCATTTCCCAGCATAACAGACATATACAGGGTTACATTTCAATGGGGACACTTGTTCTGGTGACAACTGTGTAAGGCCTCATTCACACTGGCAGTGTCAAAGCTGCATTTGGAGCACATTTCTCAATGCATGTAATTCATTTTCTTTGCTATCAGTCAGACTTGCCTGCATTCCATTGAGCTGCAATTAGAGAAAATTAGAGTTTTGTGCATACTGAATATGATTAAAAGCTCTAAACACATCTTTAAGTAGGAACAGCTAAACACAGGAAAAATTGATCCGGGACCCAAAAAAGTTGTTTAAACTTCCGAGTATGTCTCCTCTGTTTAGGAAAGTGCCAGTGTGAATGAGGCCTAATTGGGCATTTCCTTTATTTTCCTGTTTTGTCAACAGAATGGAAAGCGAAGGGAAATCTCAATGGGAGAAAAAAAATGACAGTTTCAACTCTTCCTGCTACATAAAAAAAATGGCTTTGCATATAGTATAAGGCTGAACTCCAGGGAAACTAAAAAAAACTACCCTTGCAGTGGGTACTGTAACATTTAAATGCTCATTTTTGCCTAGGAGACTATTAAAAAGCAGTTTTACTTATCGTATCCCTCACTTCCCAGCAGCCGAAGCTCTCCTATTGCCTCTGACGCTCTGGGTTGTGGATGGCCCTCAGTGTCCTCGCTTAAGGTGCCTATACACCTGCCGATTATCGTACGATAATCGGCAGGTGTATGGGCAGCGTGTGACCTCTTCTACTGTAAGGTCGCACGACATTCGTCTTCCGAGCGCGCGTGAAAACCTGCCGAAAATTGTTAGATTTTCGGCGTGTTAGTGGCATGCTCGGGAGAGGAATGCCGCACGGGCACTGCAATCATCGGAAGCCCTCCCCTCAGTGGGGAGGGCTTGCTATGATCGCAAGTACGATTTGCCTGTCCAAGATGGGCAGATCGTACACAATTTGAATTACCTTACAACCATCGCACAACGAAAGTCGTGCAATGGTTGTAAGGTGTATGGGCAGCTTCACAATGCAGGACTGTTGGTACTAAATTGTATTTGATGAGGTCAGAGTGTGACAGGCAGACAGAGCGCCGAAGGGAAGAGGTGTCTAGGGACCAGAGATGAGGAGACTGCAGGAGCTAGGGTTAAGGCATGTAACACTGCTTTTCAATGGTAACCTATGCAAAAGCAAGCATTTAACCCTTGCAGTAAGTTGGTTCTGTCATTTATCCACCCCCTCCTCTCCCCTTGTCCATTCACAGAATGCCTTGTATTCTATAAATGGACAAGGGCAGAGGAAAGGCTGGCTAATCATCAGGGTCCCTTCACTGAATGAGAGTTGCAGCACCAGAAAATCAACTCCGACAGTAGTATCAGGTCTGACTGAAAACTAAGGTAGCCACCCGGACCTAGCATAACCATCATTAGAGGTAATGTATATGTTTACAGCAAAAGTCAGAATTTTTTCCCCTGGAATTCCTCCGTAAGATGGAGCCTGGACTAAGTCGACCTAGTTATGGCATTTAGAATATTACACACAGACTTGCGTAAAATCCTCTTTCATGCATAACAAAGGGTGTGACGAGAGAGGAATTTTTAATTAACATCTATTAGCAGTACAAGTCTCTTCGCATGTAGTGTACTCGGTGCAGCAAATGTCTTGCACTCTTTATCATGCACAGGATGATTTTTGGTGCTTGTGAAATATACTGTATATAACTTCTAAGGTGCTTTCTGTTAAATGTACTTGTTACCCTGATAGAATTTATATAAGGTGTATGCAGGGTCACCAGTATTGCCCGAGGGCTAATTTTGCAAATTTTGTTGCACACAAACAAACTTTTTTTAAAAAGGTACAAGTTCCTGAAGCCAAACAGTTATTGGCTGTGCCGATCTGACCAATTTGTCAAATTGGTATGTTCTTGGTGTTGCTCTCTGAATGCAAAAGAAAACTGCACG